GCCTTTTTTATTTCCCGTCCCCCCCCCCCCCCCCCATCTTATGTCTGTTCAGAAATACTCTTCTAGCATCTTCCCCTCTCATTTTTTTCCCCGCAGAATCCTCCAACGGAATTGTTATTCTAGGGTCTTGGAGATGCTCACTCGTTTTCTAAAATGCTTATTTTCTTGGAGAGCCTGTGACTGGGTTTGAGCTGATTATGTTTGGAAAGTCAGTGTTCTTCCCTGGATGTCACTTGTGTTTATCTAAAAGGAAGTGTTTAAGTCAATTTTTACACACAAAATTAGATTGGCTATAAGCTTAGCATAAATTAATTGCATAAAAGCTAAGGATTTGTCCAAGCTGTGAGTTTGAAAGCGCTTAAGCTCGTACGCTTGGCTGTTTGTGCGTGCTCACGCTGAAGATGACTGAGCTGTATGTGAATAACACCGAGCCTGCATGTAGCTGTCACTGTAGGAACCTCTGCCTGATGATGGGATCCCAGCAAGGTCTCCGCTAGTATTGCGTTGAGAAGTGTGTCATCTTCCCATTATGTAAGGGAAGGACTTTGTGATCTACATCACTGATCAAGCAGAGCTGTGTACTCTGGCTGAAGTTAAGGTTTTTGTCTACCATAAAAGCAGTAGATACAAGCACCTGGGGTTCCAAGGAGCTTTATCTTAATGTAAGGTACCTGAATCTCTTCCTGGGAAGTGTATTGTCTTTGCACCAAGAACACACCTGCAGTTGTCTGGGATCTCACTTTTGAGGCATTAGCCAAGCATGCTTTAAACACTGTTGGCTTTTCACAGGTACGTTTCGGTTATGCTACTTTTAATAGAAAACTCTGGTCATGAGCTATCTCACAGCTGATGGCATACAGCATTTCTTATTTGCATAATATGACTTACTGGGGTTTTAGTGACTTAAACTTTGAGTCATCTTGAACGCTTCTTTCTGAAAATAAACTATTTTTAAAACCATGTTGGCTAGCAGGTTGTGCCTTCACTGATGACTACCTTCACTTCAAAATTTGTCATTTGCTCACTTCTCCTCTGTTTCACAATAAGATGAAGAGGAGTGTTCTTGAGGAGCGCTGTTCAAGGATAGACCGAAAGCAACGGGTTTGTGTAACATACTGGCTCAGTTAAAGGTCTCGTCTTTTATGGTAACTTAGTAGGATCAGCTGAATAGTTCC